CATAGAGTTGGGGTCGATAGAGCCGAAGCTGCGAATATAGAGCTCGCAGTTAACTGTCGTTGCGTTGTCTGAAAATATATATGTATTTTGATATTTGTTTCACTCAATGGAAGATTAAAACAAATGCACTGATAAATAAAGTTTATTTGGCAATAAAGTTGTTGATCTATTTGGGAAATATTTACAGTACAATAATGTGATCAACAAATAAATTTTGAGGAATTGGAATGGGATTGAACTCTCATCGGTACACGTCTGTATACATGCAGATGCATGCACTACCCACCAAACTATTGTCTTGTAGAAATTCCTATATACATAAAGGGCAAAACTAGCCTTTCCCTCTATACATGAGGGACATATACCTAGCCTCACCATCTATAAATATAGGGCATAAACTAGCCTCTCCCTCTATACATAGGGGCATAAACTAGCCTCTCTCTCTATACATAGGGGCATAAACTAGCCTAACCCTCTATACATAAGGAGCATAAACTAGCCTAACCCTCTATACATAGGGGCATAAACTAGCCTCTCCCTCTATATATAAGGGGCATAAACTAGCCTCTCCCTCTATACATAGGAGCATAAACTAGCCTAACCCTCTATACATAAGGGGCATAAACTAGCCTAACCCTCTATATATAAGGGGCATAAACTAGCCTCTCCCTCTATACATAGGGGCATAAACTAGCCTCTCCCTCTATACATAAGGGCATAAACTAGCCTAACCCTCTATACATAAGGGGCATAAACTAGCCTTTCCTCAAACGGTGTTTAACCACCCAGGCTGTGATTCACATGTCAGACTGCGAACAACCGCGTCCAACAGCCTGGTTGACCAGACCATCAACCACAGGTGTTAATACACACACACAGGAATTAAGGCTGTAAGAAGTGAATTTAAATGATGTGAGAGTAATGTTACCTAAACATTACATTTAATATTTAATAAACACTAGAGATCGAGATAGAAATAGATAAACAGATAGATATAAAGATAGAGATAGATATAGGGATAGAGATATACAGTATAGCAATAGATAGGAATATAGAGATAGAGAAAGATAGACATGGCCACAATTAATAAATCTGTAGTAAGTCTGAGTTCAATCCCCCTATTATCAGAGTGAATCGTGATAGATAATATACATGTGAATAGTAACTACACAAATAACTAATGGCAATGTCTTCTCACAGACATAACAACAAAGGATAAAACCCACACACTTACGTAATTTGTGAAATTTATGTAAAGATTTACACCAAGTCTTTCGCACTCTCCTGAGTGCTTCGTCAAGGTCTTGAGTGTAAATCTTTACACAAATTTCACAAATGACATAAGTGTGTGTGTGTTTATATCCTAAGTAACTCTATATGTAAGACTGGTAGTGGAAGACTTACTCAGGTAGTTAGTAGGTGTTGCCCTCCTGTCGTAGTCCTTCAACATCTCGTCAAGGATCTGCAGGTTGTTCACCTTCCCACTCTCCCTGTAAGGATACACCAGGCTATTACTGTTGGCTTAGGAAGAGGCTAGTACACATCTGTAACATTACTATGAATACCTGACTGAAATACATGTGAATATTGAATTTAAAGCATCGTAAATTAGTCAAAATCAGCATTTATCAGTAAGCAGATTCTAGATTCATCAAATTAATTATGAAGCCTTTACATGTTTCCTTAATCATGACGGATTTGTTTACATATATTAAAGAACTTACGAGCCTGGAAACTTCACAACCCAAGGTTATTGTTGTCATAAATAACCACCTAGTGCCTAGGTGCCTATCAACTGTTTTGTAAATGTAAAAATGCCGACATGATTGCTGGAAGATGTAAAGGTTTAAGAGGGCGCGTAAAATCTTGATGAATCTAGAATTTACTTTGTGGTAAATGCTAAGGATCTCAGAAAGACTTAGAAGACACGGCAACGTTCGAGCCCTGGCCAAAGAGGATTGACGGGCACCGACTGTTAGATCCCAGTAATAATTAGCGATCTAGTTTCAATCAGACCCTACAACGTTTACATATTATATATATATATATATATATATATATATATATATATATATATATATATATATATATATATATATATATAATATATGACCTTCTGAAGATGTATTTAATATACGAAAGTACTTAAGGAAATTCCTGTTTCATTTTTCCTCCGTGGTCTGACATTGTCACATTCTTAATCACGTGTTTATTTTCGTGATATACACACACATATATATATATATATATATATATATATATATATATATATATATATATATATATATATATATATATATATATATATATATATATATATATATATATATATCCACTTTTAGAAACTCAATATCTTGAAGGAGAGAGAGGCGAAGGAGAAGTCCTCAGGTGTGTGATAGACTTGGGTGTAGTTATCAGCACTTATCTATCACTGCCTTAGGGCGAGTGAGCTCTAGCTCTTCATGCCCCGCCTACCAGCCTTGTTGTACCTGTTGCGTTATAATTGAACTGTTCTGACATTCAAATTCTTTGTCGAGTCTGGCTTTTAAGTTGTGGCTGGAGGTGGCTTCCACAACTTCTTCCTTCAGGACATTCCAATTGTTGACCACCCGTACAGGGTATTTCCTTATATTTCTTACACTCATCTGCGTATCCAGCTTCCACCTGTGCCCTGTTGTTCTACTTTCTCTCACTTTGAAGAGGCTGTCCTTGTCCATCTTATCTATTTCCCTCAGTATCCATTATGAAGTGATCATGTCCCCTTCTTGTTTCTTCTCTCTGTCAGGATTGAGAGGTCTTATTCCCTGTTTGTGATGGGCCACGAGTGCATAGAGGATAGTCCTCTGTTCCTGTCTGGACCAAAGCTCCTCCAAGTAAGTTCCAAGCAGGTACGATGCTCCTTTCAAACAGGTTCGAATCTATTCCATGCAGGCTCCCAAGCTCCTTCGAGAACTACCCACTCGAAAATCTCCTCAGTGCTTATCTTGCTATATTTCATGCTTACATTTCACGCATGCTGAAGTTATGCTGCGTATTCCATGCCTTCCAAGATGTCTTATACAGCATTCAATATCCAACCTTAAGCTTCCTTACGCAGATACCCAAAAGGAAAAAAAAGAAGCTTAGCTGGCCACTCAATTCAAAGTGGTTCGTGGATAAGGGATTAAACCCACTGAACTGTCGAGTCATGACCTCTTCAGGACTGCGGTTCAGATGGATTTGGTGTTCATAGACCAGTTTAACAAAAAAAGAGGTTGTTTATTTGTGGACCAAATAACCAGGTAACATAACAGCCGAACAGCCGTGGGATCGCTGGATTGCTTCAAGCGAAGTTGTACATATATATGAAAGAATCTGGGTAGGTATAAGAACTGTCTTGTTTCGAAACACCAGCATTTTTCTCGTATGGACCAATAGTTGTCTCGTATGGGTCAATAGTTGTCTCGTATGGACCAATAGTTGTCTCGTATGGGTCAATAGTTGTCTCGTATGGACCAATAGTTGTCTCGTATGGGTCAATAGTTGTCTCGTATGGACCAATAGTTGTCTCGTATGGGTCAATAGTTGTCTCGTATGGACCAATAGTTGTCTCGTATGGGTCAATAGTTGTCTCGTATGGACCAATAGTTGTCTCGTATGGGTCAATAGTTGTCTCGTATGGACCAATAGTTGTCTCGTATGGGTCAATAGTTGTCTCGTATGGACCAATAGTTGTCTCGTATGGGTCAATAGTTGTCTCGTATGGACCAATAGTTGTCTCGTATGGGTCAATAGTTGTCTCGTATGGACCAATAGTTGTCTCGTATGGGTCAACAGGAGCTGTCTCGTATGGACCAATAGTTGTCTCGTATGGACCAATAGTTGTCTCGTATGGGTCAATAGTTGTCTCGTATGGACCAATAGTTGTCTCGTATGGGTCAATAGTTGTCTCGTATGGACCAATAGTTGTCTCGTATGGGTCAATAGTTGTCTCGTATGGACCAATAGTTGTCTCGTATGGGTCAATAGTTGTCTCGTATGGACCAATAGTTGTCTCGTATGGGTCAATAGTTGTCTCGTATGGACCAATAGTTGTCTCGTATGGGTCAACAGGAGCTGTCTCGTATGGACCAATAGTTGTCTCGTATGGGTCAACAGGAGCTGTCTCGTATGGACCAATAGGAACTGCCTCGTATGGACCAATAGGCTTTCTGCAGTGTCCTTTATTCTGATATTGTTATCAGCCTCGCTGGGTTAGGATGGTCTGTGATGAACCGTATTTGGCCATTTTTTTATTCATTGACATATTATATATATATATATATATATATATATATATATATATATATATATATATATATATATATATATATATATATATATATATGCAGAATAACCACATGTGAAAAATGGAGAATGCTTAACGCGTTTTCGGCTAATTCGCCTTCATCAGAGCAAAGTAGAATGAAGATGAAGTAGAATGAAAGATATTTTTCACATGTGGTTATTCTGCATACTTGGATCAGTGTTTTTGTGATCATTGTTGCATATATATATATATATATATATGTCGTACCTAGTAGCCAGAACTCACTTCTCAGCCTACTATTCAAGGCCAGATTTGCCTAGTAAGCCAAGTTTTCCTGAATTAATATATTTACTATAATTTTTTTCTTATGAAATGATAAAGCAACCCTTTTCTCTATGTATGAGGTCAATTTTATTTTATTGGAGTTAAAATTAACGTAGATATATGACCGAACCTAACCAACCCTACCTAACCTAACCTAACCTATATTTATAGGTAAGGTTAGGTTAGGTAGCCAAAAAAAGCTAGGTTAGGTTAGGTTAGGTAGGTTAGGTAGACGAAAAAACATTAATTCATGAAAACTTGGCTTATTAGGCAAATCGGGCCTTGAATAGTAGGCTGAGAAGTGCGTTCTGGCTATTAGGTACGACATATATATATATATATATATATATATATATATATATATATATATATATATATCCCCAGCAAAGACACATGGTAACCTGGACGCTGTTATAACTTGCCGGCAGATATCTTGTGCCAAAGGTTTTGGTCCGTCGCTCTTTAAATGAGAAGCATTTTTCCCCATTTTCCTTGGTCAACATTTATTCTGCTTGCAGCATCACTTTTTGGGGGGGTTTGTTTCGTTAATTTGCATCTCTCCTGGAGGAGATGGCTCAGCATACTCTCCTTCAGAGATGCAACTCGTATACACACACACACACATACATTCACACACGCACACATACCATAAATATACGTAATACATATAAACATAAAAAAATGAATAACAAAAACCTATGAAAATGTATCCAAAGTAAAGCAAAGTGACTAGATTACGAAAGAGGGGCTGAGAATACACAAAAAATGACTAAGACAAATTTGTATGGAGGTCAATGAAAGTTTCCAAGATGAGTTCATGACTGAGCCGGGACATCTCGCAGTGCTAGGAGAGGCAGTAACCCTAGACAGCACCTACTGAGAGTATAGCAAGAGGAAGTCATCAGACAACTGTAGCATCATTAAATGAAAATAAAGCTATGGGATCACACACAACATATCACCACGGATGTTAAAAGAAGCTGCTATTGGCCCTTGCGAGGCAGATCCTATTTACCCCATGCGAGGCAGTTAGGAAAGATTCCATTCTCCGTTTTTTTCACAAAAAAAAGAGGGAAAAATATTGCAAGTCGGAAAAAAATATATATAAGCAAACTCTCTTTTTCCATTTCGAATTTGTTGTAGATTGCTTTTTTTTCGCCTTCATATATGGCAAAGACAAATTTGCCAGATATTAACTTTAGCGTATATATTTATCGGTGGAAATTCTAGAGTTTTTAATTCGCGACAGGAATATAATTGGCTGCGTTAGTACCCATCCTGTGTGTGGTACTGGACCCCATACCCATCCTGTGTGTGGTACTGGACCCCATACCCATCCTGTGTGTGGTACTGGACCCCATACCCATCCTGTGTGTGGTACTGGACCCCATACCCATCCTGTGTGTGGTACTGGACCCCATACCCATCCTGTGTGTGGTACTGGACCCCATACCCATCCTGTGTGTGGTACTGGACCCCATACCCATCCTGTGTGTGGTACTGGACCCCATACCCATCCTGTGTGTGGTACTGGACCCCATACCCATCCTGTGTGTGGTACTGGACCCCATACCCATCCTGTGTGTGGTACTGGACCCCATACCCATCCTGTGTGTGGTACTGGACCCCCATACCCATCCTGTGTGGTGCTGGTCCCCCATACCTATCCTGTGTGTGATACTGGACCCCCATACCCATCCTGTGTGTGGTACTGGACCCCCATACCTATCCTGTGTGTGGTGCTGGACCCCCATACCCATCCTGTGTGTGGTACTGGACCCCCATACCCATCCTGTGTGTGGTACTGGACCCCATACCTATCCTGTGTGTGGTACTGGACCCCATACCCATCCTGTGTGTGGTACTGGTCCCCCATAC